CATGATTCTGAACCTGAACCTGAACCTGAACCAGAACCTGAACCCGGACTAGAGCTGGGGTTCATCAGTGTTCAGCAGGAAATTAGGGATACTTTAAGGTTATCTTTTAAGCAAAAATGCCAAGCCATAGCTGCTTTTAGCTTCTCAAATTTGAGTATTTGATGCTTTTCTTTGCCATATATGATAGTAGCTGGATTGTTTTATGGACATTTTATAGAGACAACAAATCAATTAATTCAGGAAGAAGGTGGCGGATTAATCATTAATCAAAATAACAGTAAGTTGCTACCTCAACTCTAACACAATAAAGTGAGAATGGGGGATAATTTGGGCCTAATTTGTTTACTAAAATACTACACTTAGACATACATCGTGCTGAATTAGAGTAACGAAATAAACAAAATAATTTTGGTGAACTGCTATTCTCATGCTACAGGGGTCATTTCAACAGAAGTGGTATATACCAGACCACCATGCATTGCCAGCCTTTTACCTGAACTTGGGGTCCTGCTTTGTGACAACGCCCACCTCGAGCTCAGAGGGTTTAAAGTCGATGGAGAGAACAGTTGACAGACAGGAGATTGCTGTCTGAGGGAGAGAAAAAAAGGGGAGATAAGATTGTGTTTATGACATTTCTATTATATCTTCTAATAATAAATGTACTTGACATAAAAAAAAAAAGGTTATAAAATTAGAAGCCACACAGCTGGAAACCACCTGTGAGGTCACTTTCACATTCGTCTTCCGCCCTTATCAACCTGAGTTTTTTTTTTTGTACCTCAATAGTTTGTTCAAAGGTCCAGTCCAGTTTCTTTTTCACTTTCTTCTCCAGGAAGCTGGTGGCTTCTGTCTGCTTCACTCCAGCTGCGGTTGCCTTGAAGCCACAGTAGTATCCTGCTGGGTCGCATTTGTACACCTGGGGTCCAAACTCATCGTCTACGCCAATGACGATCATACCTGCAGGCAACGGGCATCAGTGAGGACTCTGATGGCGACATTTGACTTCAGTTCACACCCAACCCACAACTTAACCGTCACGACCCTTAACCGACTGCAGCTTAATATACTTACAGCAGCCCAGTGGTCGCATCTCAGCGTTCTGCGTGTAGACTTGCGAGATGTCAGCAATTCTCTTACACAGCATGTCAACTGGAATCTCATAACCGTACTTGTACTGCCAGTTGGCGGCCTCATAGCGAGCTCGCTGAACTTGGGACCTGCTGTCAGCTGCAAGGGATCAGAGTAAGAAGGGGGGAAAAGTGACTGATGTGTTCAAAGCACCCATTTAACGGTCACACAGTCATATTGGAACTTTAAATCTCTAGAGCAGTGTTTAAATGATATCCACAGAAAGCTGCTCTCATGGCAAAAATAAGACTTTTAGGAAAGAGGAACCATCAACTTAAGTAAACGCAGTGACTGAGGAGAACAGAGATGACAAATGTGAATCACCACTTTCAATTGAACTGTAAATACTTGGGATTTTTAAAAGAGGTATTTTTAAAAAGAGGTATTTTAGTTTTCACCAAGTTTGTTCCCATATATTGAACAATTACTGCATTTCCAGGAGCAAACTACCACCAAAGCTTAGAATGGTGGAAAGTTTACAACGAGCAACGCTGAAAAAATGCTTTGAGTAATAGGAAGTGATGAGAAAAACTGGAAGAAAATAAAAACATGCTGCTAAAAAGGCAACCTACGAAAAAAAAAGTTAAAAAAGAAACTGATTGCACTTATTGCAGTGCTTGTGCTGAACATTATTTTTCAAAATCCAATTTTCAAGCAGGTTTTTGTATACACTTACTTTCCTCTTTTCAATCCGATTTTACGATCTTTTATATTGAAAATACAAAACAATTTAAAAGACAGTACTAATAATAAGCAGTGCTAACAGTATGCATTAACTCTTGACACTTTTTCTTACCCGTCATCCCAGACATTACGCATCCAATATTATCTGTTATTCTGAAAAGGTGGGTCACTGTCGCGGAATCCAGGAGCTTGTCCTGTTTCAAAGAAGAAAGGGAATAATAGTTTGATAGAAAATAAATGAATGTGGTACAAGGGACAGTGGCCTCATCTTCGGAAACCGTTACTGCATCCAAAAGATTTACTTCACACTTCAACTTAATAAGTTTTTTGGGGTATATATGGGATCAGAATAGGGATGTCACGATATCAGAAATTTTGTCGTCGATACCAATACCAATGTAATTCCATAATTGTCGATACCAATTCGATACCACTTTAAAAATGTCCTAATCAAGTTTTTGCCCCAATCCCCATTTAATATTGAGATTGAATATATGATATATTTTTATACTAAATAAATAATAAACAAAATACCCTCAACCCTCAATTATTTTTGGTCTTGTAGCTTTCTAGAGGGAATTTCTCTCTCCCTTTAAAAGTGTCCTTTAGAGTGCTTCTTCCGTGCAGCCTTTATTTGAGTTACCTGAATGAACTGTATTCTGCTGAATGTTCATTCTCCTCGCCGGTTATCTTTTGTGTGGAGAACATTAATAAATAAGACTTATTTGCTTTTTGCTCGCAGGGCTTTTGTTGCACTTGCAGTGGTGTGGTGAGTGTGTGGCTCCACCGCTCTCTGTGCCGCCTCTGACCAGGAGTTTAGCCCCGCCTGCAGCGGTGTTTCACTGCAGGCAGGGCTGAGCTCCTGCACACACACAAACACACACAGAGGAGAGAGTAGATGACGGAGCGCTGTGCACAAAAGTTTCACAAGTAAAACATCTGTACAGCTGCACCTGTAACCGTTGTCTACATGTTCTCCTTCTTCTTACTAGAATATTTCTAGGCGTATATGCTGCACTCTCAGGTCTGGAAGAAAAGCATCCTCAGTACCTTTGCTACCATTGCTACTGTAGAAAAACAGAAAATCAAAATTTTGGCATCGACTTGGTACCGAAGTATTGGTTCTCGTGACATCCCTCAGAATACCCTACAATGCATAAAAACATTACATGCATACAGGAGACACATCCCACCACCCCCTCTGGATGCATTCAAAGGTACATTTGACAAAATAATCAAGAGTATAATAATCAACAGTATCCAGTATTAAATTAACTTTATGAATTTAAAAACAACAGTCTTGGTTAGACAATGTAAACAATCTAAAACACGTCCCTGAGCTCTATAACATGATGCACATCTGTCAATATTTCAACATTTTTCAAACTTACTAAACAATTGACCTGATTAACCTCTAATATACATCTAAAATGTGATGCATGACCCCAGTAAATTAAGATTCTCTAGTGTATATTTTATTGTCTGTTGTGAAATTGAATGTTTAAGTTTTAGTATTAGGAAATGTTTTATCTGTTGTGCCTGTGCACTTAATGTGTTTCACCGTGGGTGAATGAGAAACGTCCTCTCGATTCCTTGTATGTCTGGTGCATGTGAAGAATTGACATTAAAGCTGACTTTGACTTGACTTTTGGAGAGAAACTGAGGGACATTGTATTGATTTTTTTCTTAGACTAACTGAATATGGACACGGGATGTACATTCACTCACTAACAAATGACTGAACCCTACAGAGCTGCCACAAATCCAATTCCACATGTAAACAGTGGACAGTGAACACATTTAACTGTCAATATGTATGCTGTCACATACAGGGGGGGAAAACCAAGTGTTATCAGTGCAGGAGGATGCAGCCTGTATTCACCACAGAGTTTTCAATGCTCACACTGGAATGAAAACAAAGACCTGATGTCAACATGTGAACTCACCGGTACTTTTTTCTGTGTTACAACAACTGCGCAGTCTTTCCCTCTGACTGCTACTGATGTTAGTCCACCTTGGTTTATGGCCTTGAAAGCATATTCTGCAAACAAGCAAGAGAAGAGGGTGTCTTTAAAGAGTACATCTTCATCTGACAACAACAATGCAGGTTAGGGAACAGTAAAACAAACAAACATGCACAGCATCCAGTGATTTAGAACAGTAGAGCCCATATGTACAAACACAGCTGTCTACCTCAGCAGGAACACAAGCAAACAGCTGATCACGTGTTATCTGATTGGTCGACTGACATCCAATCATTAACTGGTTCTGTGGGCTCACAGAAGTTTGGATTGAGATGCTGTATGTGAATGAGTGATGCTGATCGGGGAATGCCCTCTGTATTACAATGCAGCTATAAAGATTTGTTTTGTTTTGTTACTGCTTGTGGAACAATTTCAGGATTTGTCTCCTTACTGTCGTTTATCAGAAGACATCAACAAAAGGTCTGTGTCCAATACAGCTTAAGAGGAGACTGGATCAATACCACGAGTTCAAACTCAACTGCAAACTATGGACACAATGCATGTGGTTTATATTGTAGGGTGGATTTTCCCTTTAAGTCCAAACAACATTCGCCGTATTATCAAAATACATTCAATTTCTGTCACTGCCACAACATTTTATCATGGTTAAGATAGTTTCACAAAAAGAAACACAACACCAGCTTCCCACAACCGTAACATTTGAGTCAATAACAAGTTGACACTTTCAGCAATGAATCAGCTTGCTTGCTTGTAATGCTAACCATGCTAACTAGCATGCTAGCCAGCTAACCAGTTTGACTCGCGCTGTTTTGTTTAATTGAAGAAGCAGTAAAACAGACGTAAAATGACGACTGGAACACCACGGGTACGGCTTTCATGGCTTTATATTATAATACTTTCGTTTCGGCGGGCTGTTATTTATCAGCTAGACGCCAAGCTAAGCGAACCATGACAGAGCATTTAGCTAGCTAGCAAACAAGCCTAAGCCTACGAGCCGGCTTTCGTCCGAACAGATCCACACACTGACCGACTTGATAGAGTCTTCCTTCAGGAGAGAAGATGGTGATGTGTCGATCAAACCCTGCACTCGAGCCTCGGGACATCTCAGAAGCTTAAGTTGGCCCAGAAGTTCGTCCAAATGAATTTGCAAGCAGATTTTACTTCATGCACAATATTTCCACCCGGAAGTTGAACTGAGGGAATCGGAACTTCATCCGGTGTGAGAGGCCTGCTCCGTTTCCATGGTGATATAAAACTAACGCTCCGTGTCTTCAGAGAACACCTGCGTGGTAAAAAGGTAAATAAAATGTACTTAAGTAACGTTACTGTACTGTATGCAGCTTTATACCTCCACAAGCAAACATAGGCCACTGTTTACCTCCACTGGCTGCAGTTCATCCACAGCTATAGATATGACCTGTTTGCAGGCTGATATTTTACATTTAAAATACATGATCATAAATTATACTGAATACTGTAAGCTTAACCATCCAAATAAAGTAGTTCAAGTTGGCTAAACATTGACCAACTTCAATATAACAATTCTATTTACACTTGAATGCATTAGTAATAAGAATAAGAATAATAATCCAATATTATAATAGGCTATGTAATAATAACACTAACTCTTGATATGTACATTTTGCTGATGATATTTACATACTGTTTTTCAAGAAACCTTTTTGAGAAGCTTTTTTCTTTAACAGTTTGCTCATTACAGGTTTAAAATGGTTTCTATTGGTTAAATTAAATTAGTTATACCTCTAAGGGGTCTACTTGACCCCAAGCATTAGTAAAGTCACCTTCATCAAAATGTGCAGGTCCAGTTTGTGGTAAAGGGAATATTCATCAGAAGAGAGGGACGAACTTTGCAATTATGATGTTTTTCTTTACACATACTGCAGTGCAGCCTGTGTGAAGCAAAACAATGAGGGATCATTTCCTGTTATTATGAAACAGATAATTATGTTGACATTCTGTATACAAACAGTTGAACAGTACTATGAATATATAGTGGATATTGTTTACAGTTAATATTTAGTATTGAACTGGGATTCAGTCTAAGATATAGGCAGACATTCTGGCCTGTCATAGAACAGTTGTTACTGTTAACATTTCTCATGGCTCTGTTGTGTTCAAGCGTCTCAGTAAGCTCATGAGAGTGTGACAGTTAGCCAGCATGAACAGTACCATGAAAAAGGGCCCTGTACATGCCGGCTTACTGGAACACTTACGTGGAAAGGTGCCATTGTCAACGTCATTCTTTCCACCTGTGCTTCCTTCCTGCTATGACAAAGTCAAGTCAAAATTTGTGCTGTGAAAAAGACCTGTGCTACCAATGTGAATCTTATGATATTTAACTTTTGTCTTTCAGATGTGTCAGGAAGCTGATGAGTCAGTGTTGTATTGGAAAGCACGCTACATTGTTCATGCTATTTCTTTTCAGGAAAACTTCACAAAATAATGCAATTCAGTACAAACCCACCACTGAGTATTATGTGCTGTTACATATAAATTGACACATAAATGAATGTACCATCTTGATCACTATTTAAGTAAAGGGGGTTATGTTAACACTGTATATTAACTGTATGTAGTCTTGTTAGTGTAAACGCTGGCTCCCTACTTTAACATTTAGTAATACAGTACCTATTAAATTTCTAAGAGTGTGTAAACGGAGCAGCTTCTCTTTTCCTGTTTTAGACGCCAACAAGCTACACAGAGAAGCTAAAAACAGATTATTTTATGATATGACAGGTTTACTTTTCCCTATCACATAACAAGCCAAGTGAAAATGATGCCATCTTTACAATAGAGCATTTTTTGTAGAACAAAATCACTCAATTCCAATTTCCTTGTTCCTGAAAAACTAAAATAAAACTGTGCGTGTGTCATCAGGGATTTTCCCTCCATCTGCAGGTATCTAATGCAGCTGAATAGAGGATGTATAAGCTTCCTCTTTATAAGGTAGTGAGACTTTTAGATAATGACTCATACGGCTACTCATTGTGGTATCAGTGATCCAGGATAAGCACAAGTTGAATCTCAGGTCTGCCATGCCAGGTATCATCTTATAAAATGTTCAGATATGGTTTTATGGCAGAAAGTCCCTTTGGTCCTCGGTTGCCATGGTATTATCAATGTAGTTTGTCACATAACCATAGATGACATACATGGGAGTATTTCTGTTTAACCACTGAACCACATTTCTGATATATGAACCGATCACACACCATATAAAATGAATCATCTAAATAATGCAAAATCCAGTATTGCAAAATGTTTGTCTGCTCCTGCACAACCACAAGTATTCCTTCTTACTAAACAGGGCTGCAGAAACATAAACACTAACTCAAAATGAACACATCCTACAGTCACTGTTGAGTACTTTAGATTATGTTGATTTAAAAAATTGTAATCTATCAAACACATTCTTGCGGTTTAATTAGGGTTAAATAAAACTTTGATAAAAATGAAGGCAAAGCAATAAAATGCTAAAGCATCCTTTGAGAGGTGATATACAACCTAGACAGCACCCCCCCCCCGCCAGCGCCCCTCTGACCTGATACTTCGCACTTTTCTCCCACTTTCCTGTCCTCTTCCCCACCTCTGCTCTATCTCTCTCTCTTTCCCCTGCTACTGTTCTTACTCTACAAAAGCAAAAGCTCATTCAGCGCACAGTAATGGCGCTGCATTTGCACACTGTATTCACATTTGAAACCAGAAAGACCCCCACCCCCGGATCTAAGAGACGAGGCGTGGGACTGAACTCTGGAGCGCAGGGGGATCTCCACCATCTATGAAAATACTTTTTTCACGTTGCAAAGCCACATTCTGGCTAATGTTTTCCAAGCACAGAAGTTTAGATGTTAGGCAATAAGGGAAACATTAGATGATGAAGCCTTTCTGAGAAAACCCTCATAACGTCAAATGAAACATTTGTAGTTTGGACTCATTTTGTATAAAACATTTTAAACAGCGTTTCTTTGTGTAAATGGGGACATTTTATACAAGTATTTAAAAAAATTCCCCAAAATGTTTCTCTGAAAGCATTCTTTTTTTACGCAGTTCTCGGTACAAACCTTGTACCGAGAACCACTACATACATTTATTTTACGCTAAAAAAGCATGAAATCCATACAACCTAATTTATCTTACAAATAAAAAAGAAAATCATCAAATTTTACAGCACACAATTTCTAAGAACCTGAATACTGCAGGCAGCTTCTAGGAACACCTTATCTAAAATGCAGAGTGATGCTAAAGTGATCTACTGAGCGTGTGTGTGATAACAATGCCGTGCTGGCTTCCTTTTATTGCAAACATCTTCCTTAGAATTTGCATCTTGTTCCTTGTAAATTATCTGGTGGTTTGTCATGTTGCAAACACTCCAATGGTTACACAGTAGCCTCAAGGTGAGTTGCAATTATTGGCGGTGCACTAAATGCTTGAGAATATGCCTAAGGTGTGAGACCTAAAAAATGGAAATCCCAGTATGTATATATATATATTAAGAGCAAACAGAATCTTGTCATTGAGGATCGGTTACATAACAGTGAGACAGCAGAACACACCCAAATTTAGGGTGGTAAAGTGGCACTGGGGTTTAAAACTAAGCTAGTTTAGTTTAAGTACTACTTTACACATCTCCAACTCAACACAGAGAGGGTAGATAAGCAGCACAGAGCAGATGCCAGGCCTTTTAAAATAAAATCACACCTGGTTTATATTAACAAGCCCTGATCTCCTGATCTAATGTCCTAAATTACTGCCGTTTGAGTCTCTGAGAAAACTCACCTCACTTCACCTGTTTGAAACTGAATATTGACACACAAACTGGAAAACACAGCCTAGTATTGTTTTCCATTAGAAAATGTGTTACTCCAGCTCCTTTGTACCTCAGGCTTCAATGAGTTGGTCAGATGCCAGATAAGTCAAGTCTTCTTTAATACACTTTTTATTTACTGAACTACCTGCCAGTGAATTTTGCTGTTGGCCTGTATTTTTGGCATATCTTGACCAAATCCCCACTCATGTACTATTAGGGTAATATCTTTGGTTTTATGACCAAATTCCCTTCAGCACTGCTGTGATCATCTTCCAGCTAAATATTGGATGTGGTAAGACCTACGGAGACAACATCAAACAAAACTTACTGTAGTTTACTTCTAACAGAAAGGAAAACACATCTCAGCTCTTGCACAACGGCTGCAATTTCACTCACAGCAGATGCGGAAAGAATGCAAATACAAGGTCAGAGCTTATGAATGACACTGAAATGTATTTTAGAGGAAATAAGAAAATAAAAATAAAATAAATATATAACCACCCTCCTTCATACCTCAGTCGGCAGTGGGCATTGTTGTCCCATTTACTTACCTGCATTAACATTGTGATAAGGAAAAGCACATGTTAATGCAAGGTGCAAATACATGCAGTGTGTTTAGAATGCGATCGGGTTGTCCAGACAACATCTGTAGGTGGTCTGGCTCACATTATGAAAGGATCAAACCAAGTTGTAAATGCAATCTTTATAGTGTGACCACAAGAAAAAAAAAGGTCTGCAAGTTTAAAGGTCACCTAACTCCACCACTTCCTGCTAGCTCAAGCTGTCCGTCAAAAAACTACAAGTAGTACGAGTAGCTACAAAATATGGTTTAAAAATAAATGATGCCTGTTCATGGCATTAACAGGCATCATTTATGACCCATTATTGACAAGTCTGCCAGCCCCACCAAACTAATTTGCATATTGACATCTGAACAGAATGCACGCGGAAACAAGATAATGAGAACACTTATTTATAGCAATTGTAAATGCAAAGGTATGTAGAACAAATGTCTCCAAATAATGTATCCACACATTATTTGTGTAAACGGTAAACGGGGCTGTTGAGTGTTGAATCAGGGGTAAAGCTGATAGTAGAATATACAGATTTAATATTTTAAGGGGGTGTTCCATGAAGGGGACTTCTGAGAGGCAGATTTAAACAAGAACAGTCAAAATTGGTGCAGCACTAGCTGAGGTATTCAGATTTTTAGTCCCTAGTAGTAAACTCCAAAAACAAAGAATTCACACATTTCCCATAAGTTCCCAATTGCCCACTTCTTTCAAACAATACAGCTGCAGTTTGTAACACAGGTTTTATGTTAAAAAATGATCTCATGATGATGATGATGTCTTTTTTTTTTTTTAAACTCCAGAGTCACATACGACATTACACAACTGTTTTCACAGAGTAAGTAGAAGTCCTTGTTGCAAATAAACTAACCTTCATATATAAAATTGCCAGTGTCCCTATTTCACACTGATATTGTTTATATTGTATGTAACCTAGTGTAAAGTTGAAATACTGGAGCCATTTATCTAAACCAGTGGGTCTACCCCAGTTTTATTTTCTGCTGGTGAGAAATCATTTAAAGTCCATGATGACCATTGGCAACATTGGTGTTGTGGGAAACGTGACAGGTCCCAGCGTGTGCTTCTTCCACAAGGTGAAGTAACTTTAGAAGTGTTTATGTAAAGTGGTTGATGAATTATAATGCTTATACAGTCGGTTAAAATGTAGATACCGCAGTGTTTGATTTAGATGAGTTTCAGCTGGACGATTTAGCATGTGGTGTATTGACTTTACAGTTTATTTAAACCAAGGCCAAAAGGCAAGGGTTGAATACAAGTAGCCTGCCCGTAGAAGTCATCGTGATTGTGCAATTACACTGTATGCTCCGACATGTGCCTGCTCTGCTTTTTGTCAGAGACAGGCGTAGAGTTGTGTGGAAAGTTGTATGGTTTATCACATGCACATTTGGTTTCTCAAGCAGTCCAGAGATGTTGAATCAGTTAAATAATCCAGCCAAAGGTTCACAGTGTATTCAATCATTATAGTCCCAGGTGTAAGGTTATCGTGATGGTAATCAGAACTTTACAGTAAAGTTAGGCAGTGTCCTCTTTTTGAACCAATCTCACCTCTCCTATGTTGTCATCTTTCCTTTTTCCAGTATATGAACTGACTTTATGAACAAGGCTGCGTTCAGACTGTAGGCCAAAAATACCAAAATCGTATTTTTTCTTGCTCATATGTGACTCAGATCTGCATGACGTTCTGCATGTGTTAACAGCACAAATCACATAGAATCTGATCTTTTTCAATTCTGATTCACTCAGAATCTACTTTCATATGTGGTCCAAATAAGATACAGGTCTGATTTTTGCAGTATGACCTCAGTCTGAAGAATCATATCAGAATTCCCGTGGCTTTAACATCACTATAGACTGACATTTGTCACAAGGGTCACTCCAGGGCCGGGCCCTGTTCACAGTGGAATCTGACATGGGCCTCAATTTAATTTAATCAGATCTGAGCAATTAATCAGAATGAGTGCTAAGGCGTGCAGTGTGAATGTAGAGCTGACTAGGGACCCATTGGTTGGTCTTTCGGAGTGAACCATATAAGAACAGGTGTCTGCGGTAACAATAGAGCCAGAATGGAAGGGGTGGGGGGGATATCCGTGGTTTTAACCCACATATCCTACTATAAATGTCACACGAAAAAGCCTTAAATAACCTGTACATGATATACCCGGCTTAGACACAACACAAATGATATCCACAGATATAATTTAAATTAGATGCGTTCCCTGTCTGCACGCAGCCTGTAATGTAATACAGAGTTATAAATA